GCCGCGGGCGCGCCGCCCAGCGCGCGGGCGGCGGAGAGCAGTGATGCGAGCGTGGCGTTTGGGTCGTCAAACTCCTTGGGGTTGGCCACCTGCGCGCCGCAGGCCTGGAGCAGCCACGCGGCCAGGCTCACAAAGGTGAAGAACTGCTCATTTGCGGGGGCGCCCGCGCCGGCGGCGGGCGGGTCTGAGAAGAAGGACTGCGAGAGGGGCTTGCGGTGCGGCTTCCTGCGCGCGGGGCCCGGCGGGGCGGGGCGCGGCGAGGCAGATGAGGGCGCGAGGCAGCGCGCTGGGCTCGCGGCTGCGCGCATGCGGCCGCGTGTGTTGCGCATGCACCGACAAACCCGGGCGTGCGTGCACTGCGTGCTGGCCGCGCGAGTGCTTGCATGTGCACAGCAGGCTGAGGGGGGGGCACCATGGTGCCACCCACTTGCGCCTGCAGAATTCCCGCTCGTAATCCAGCAGCTGCAGCTTACTCAGCAGCTGGTCCTGCGCACGCGCAAGGTGCGGCAAGCACCACGCCGTCAAAGGGTTGCGAGCTTTCGGATAAGGGATGGCACGCGTCATCAGCAGCAGGCACACAGCTGGGCTTGGCAGCGCGTCCATAAGTGCACATCCTGCTGCGCCAACGCCCGCACAGTCAGGAGCCCTTGTATTTGCGGGATCATTCGCACCATCAACACCTCCGCTGGCAAAGGCTGCGCAGACCCGACGGCAGGGCCTGGCGGCAGCGCGTCGCCGCGGGCTGCATCGCCCGCCGCGGCCGGCGCCGGGGCCTCGCCCGAAGCCCGGCGGCCCTGTGTTGACGATGGCCTCAGGCGATCCTGCGCAGGGGCACGCGGCATGCGGCTGGCTCAAATGCGCATGCAGGGCGAGGCGGGAGAAATGCGAGTAAAGCCGAAGCTCTTGTTTGAGCAGTAGGGCGCTTACTCTGGCGCTCATGCTTCCTGGACTGGCAGCACCAGCAGCACGACGGCAATGACTGGCGTCGGGCGCAGCTGTCGAACGCAAACTCAGCAATGCATTTTCTTTGGATCTGGCTACTATTCGTGTGTGTAATTTGTGTGCACAGATCGGGCGGTCTTTTTTTGTTGCGGTGCAATGACAAGGCAAGAAGTGTTTCGTGATGACGCGTGTTACTGTATCATATTTCATAAGAGGTACCTTAGAAGATCCCTCAATCGTCGGCACACGGCACGGTTGCTAGCGACAGTCAAGATCGCACAAATGCAGCCATGACAAATTTTATGCCAGTGATGCGCGCTTCAAGAAGCAAGACAGCACACTTTCACACCTAATGTACCATACGCTCATGTCTGCTGGGCCCCAGTTGCCAAGCGAAGGTCACATCGCCATGCTCTGCCATTGATACGGGTGTTGGCAGCCTCCTGTTATGCTGGTGATCACAGGTGTAATCACTGGCAGTAGCTCGCATTTCGGTTACTGGGGGCGGCGGGGGGTTGGAGGGGGTTGGAGGGGCTGCCAGTGGTCTTTTATGCTTTCGTCTGACATCATGGCGGGATGGAGGGGGTGGGCGTTGTAGATTAGGCTGCCGTTGTGCTGCCTGGTGGCGGGTCACCTGCCGGAGCTGTCATTGTCCTGAGTGACTGTCACAGGTGCCGGCGGGGTCGGTGGTCTCTCGATGTGTCAGCTCCCATGCCATGCAAGGCAACATCGATTTCCGTGCCCATGGCCCTTACCTCTGAGGGCCTGACCAGCTCTTGACTCCTATTTATCTTGTCACACGTGTGCACCGAGGACGTTTACAGACACATGCACTTTTTAAAGCTGAGGGTCACAATGTTCGTTTCGTGTGCGAGCCTAGGCAGGGCCTGGCTCAGCACACGCATGCAGGCAAGAGCTAAGCTCTCAATGGAAGTGCAATTCAATCTCGCACAAAGTAGAGCGATAAGACTGCCTCGGGGTGGGGTAGATGGCCCCAACGATTTGAGTTGCTTTCTTCCTGTGGTGTCCTCATCAGTGCCCCCAGGGTTCACGCCCCACAGCCCACAGGGTACCACGCTTGCAGGCGCCGCGGGCGCCCTGCAACTGTGCATGTAGCTGCGAACAACACCTCGAGGGGGACATCACCAAGGGGTGCACCGCACGCACACAGCGGCAGGCGCAACGAGCCACACAACAAGGCGCGGCCCCGCGCCGCCAGCAGGGAAGGGTTGTGACAGCGATTGGTTAAGTGAACGGATCAGAATGGAGCAGCGGGGCTCGGATTCGGACGAAAAAGAAAGACAACGGCGGCTGGCCACGCCGCGTGGGGCGGGGGCGCAGGCCCTGGCTGCCTGTGAGGGACCAAGGTAAGGGGGGCACGGCTGCCTGTTGAGAGGTGGTTGAGCGCCCGCTCAAGTGCAGCAGGAGAGAGTCCTGACCCGCAACCTGCACCCCGGGCGTTCACCGCTCTCATGCAAGACGCTGCCCGAGGGATAGCAATGGCAGCCCCCGCCGTGGTGGCCGGTGGGCACCAGGCTGCGCGGCGGGGTGCTGGGCAGGGCCCGCTCGCGCCAGCTCCAGGGCTGTGGGGCCCAGAGGCACGGGCGGGCCTCTGCTTGGATACACTCGCGCTGGGGGTGGCCGAGTGCGTCGAATTCCCGAGTCTTAAGATGATGCAAGCAGTGACGGGCTGGGCGCCCATGCGGGGAGCACACGAACACGGTGCAGTGGGAACAGGCCACGGGCGGAATCCGGGCGGGGCCTCTGACGCACCGCCGATCGACGCTGCAGATTCGGAAACAACACAAGGGCGGCAACCAATGGGCTTGGGGCTGTGCAGCTCAGACACACGCGTACACACAACCTGGCCATGCACAGGCTTGGGCGGCGTAGGTAGCAGCAAAGGGCACGACACGGCGTGCAGGCGGCCCCGCTGCGCGGCAGACGTCACAGCGGCGTTCGAACCCGAGCCCAATGCACAAACCGTGCCGCCCCAGTTGCATTGTGCCGCATCAGCCTGCGCGACAGCGCCGGCCCCGCACACGCAAGCACAGAGCGAAGCGCGCGGCCCGGGCGGGAAGGGTGCAAAGGCTTCAAGCCTTGGCTCAAAGTGTGAGTAAGCAAAGTGTGACTGGGGGCGGGTACTGTACACGCACGCCGTGAACGACTCGACAACTTCAAATGCAAGGAGAACGTGTGACAATCGTCATCATGGGAGGTCAAACCAATGCACCAATGTGCCAACAGCGCGCGGCGCAGCCACCAGGGCCACCGCCGCCCGCCTGCAGCCTGGCATCCGGCCCACTGGCAGCTGCCCCGGGGCCCCGCGGCCATCCCCTCCATCCCAACACCAGAGGCGCTCGCGCCGGGGGCGCGGCCGCAGCCGCGGCCGCGACCCGTGCGGTCATGCGCCCCAATCGCTTCCCGCCGCGCCGCGCGGACCGCCGCGCGTGCGCATGCGGGCCGTCGCGCCAGACCAGATCAGATCACGTAGTCCAGCAGGAACCCGATCTGGTCCATGTCGTCGCAGGGCTCCGACACGGCGCGCTTGATGACGCGCGCGGGCACCCCCACGGCCACGCTGTGGGGCTCCAGGTCCGTCACCACGACGCTGCCCGCGCCCACCTTGGCGCCCGCGCCCAGCGTCACCGGCCCCAGCACGGTGACGCCCGCGCCTAGCAGCACGCCGTGCCCGACCTGCGGGTGGCGTACGCCCTTGCCGATGCCGCTGCCGCCAAGCGTCACGTGGTGCAGCATCGACACGTTGTCGCCGATGGCGGCGGTCTCGCCGATGACGACCCCTGTGGCGTGGTCGAGCAGGATGCCCCGCCCCACCCGTGCCGCGGGGTGGATGTCGACGTGGAACGCCTCGCTGATCCGCGACTGCAGCATCAGCGCGAGCGCGCGCCGCCCCGAGTTCCACAGCCGGTGCGCGACGCGGTGCGACTGCACGGCCTGGTAGCCCTTGAAGTGCAGCAGCGCCTGGGTGTAGCGGTCGCAGGCCGGGTCGCGGTCCAGGACGGCCTGCAGGTCCGCCATGGCGGCGTCGATGATGCTGGGGTCCTCCTTGTACACGTCCTCCGCGATCTGCTTGATCTGGGTGCTGTAGAGCGTGCTGCTGGCCAGCTTGTTGGCCAGCACGAAGGCCAGCGCCTGCTCGAAGGTCTTGTGGGCCAGGATGCTGCTGTATAGGAAGCTGGCGAGGGTGGGCTCCGCGTCCTTGGGGGGGGGGAGCAGGGGGGCGTGGAGGGAGGGATGAGAGTGCGTGTGTGTCGTGTGTTTTCGGGTGTGTGTCTTGTGTGTGAGCTTTGTGAGTGAGTCCTTTGTGTGAGTGCTTTGTGTGTGTGCTTTGTGTGTGTGCTTTGTGTGTGTGTGTGATTGTGATTGTGTGTGTGCGTGCAGGAGGGACTCTGCAGGTAGGCGCCTTGCGAGTCGAGAGATGGGTGGGCGCTGCGCTGCTGGGATGGGGCCGCATAAGCGCATCCGGGGAAGCAAGGGCCGCACTGGGCCCGCGTGGTGCGGGAGGGGCGAGGCCGCAACGCAGAGCAGCCCAGGCATATGCTGCTGCGAAGCGCCACTGCTGGGGGCCGGGCAAGTGACTCGTCTGAGAGGTGGCTGGCTGCAGGTCCTGCTCTCTTTACGGCTTTCAAATTCACACGTGGCCCTTTCGGCCCGCGTTGCCCTTTGGGGGCGCATTGCCCTTTCGGGGCGCCTCTGCTGCTCTGGCCAGCGAGCCGCTGAGCGGCTCGATTGCTGTCAGCGCTCAGGGTTCTGACGTATGCAAGAATGGCGCGAGCCATGCCTGCCGGCGGCGTAACAGGCTCCTTGCCACCATCAATTGGTCGGATCGCGGCGCGGCCCCTCCACACACGCAGCTCCCCCGTCCCTGCCCAGCGTCCCGTCCGCCACCCACCGCATCGCCCTTGCTCTCCTGCCGGACCCTCTGCCACAGCTCCTCCGGCGACAGGTGGTGAGGCTGCGCGCGCCAGCCCTGGGAGGGATGGCCCTCTGTGGGCGCAGCCGGGAGGCGTGTGGGGAGGGGCAGGCGAGTCAGCGATGCAGTGAGGGCCGTACGTTGAGGCTGCTCCAGCCGGCCAGGACCTGGCAGTGGCGGCACTGCGGTCGCAGACACACGGGTGACAGCATGCAGTACGGGGCCGCCCGGTTAGCGGTACACACGGCGGCACACACCAGCGGGCTTGGGGCCCCGTCACCGTCAAGTTTTCTCACCGGGCGTGTCCAGCGCGGGTGGCTGCGGCTTGTGCTGCGAGGGCAGCACCTGCTGCGCATAGTGCTGTGCTGGCAGCTCCGCATACGTCATACGCGCCGCCAGGCTCTGCCGCACAACGTCCATGTCCTGCGTAGTCAGGTACGTCGACTTCACAACCGGCGGCGCAAACGCCGCCGACGGCGGCGCCGCGGCGGGCACCCTGCCGACCACTGCGGAAGCCGCAACGATTGCAACAGATAATGGGGCATAGGTAACGCACAAATACAGCTGTGGCAGCCGCCATGGCAGAGAGCCAGTACATGCGCTTCCTGTACCGGTGCACGACGCATCGGCTGCGTGTGGAGGAGTTGAGCCGCGATCCTAGGCGCGCACCTCTGCGTGCTCCCGCTGCAGCTCCAGGCGCTGGGGCCTGCCCCGGTTGTGATTTGCTTGGCTGCTCGGCTCGCACGGAGGCGGCCTTCCTTCTCGAAAACTGCATCGCGGTCATTCGCGCAACGGTGCCAGGCCAGAAACCGCTGCTGGCTGGTAGAACAACGCACAGTCTATCCTAAAACAGGCGCGAGGGGCCTGATATGCACCCGCGGACCCTGGTAGACCTGTCTGAGGGCGGCGTGCGGTTTGCTCCTGAGTCTAGCACGTTGACGGCACCCGAGAAGGCGCTCAGTGCTATTTTTCCTATATTCTGTGGCGGGGCGCAGGCCCGACGGAGCGGCGTGCGTGTGCTGTGCGTCCAGTGAGGTGAGGGCGGCGCACACAATGGCATCATGCAGTGCAAGGCAATGGCATGGGCCCTGAAGCAACGCAGGGGCCTGAAAGGAGATCTTATAAACTTTGAAAAACTCCGCTTGCGCAGTTGCCCCAGCCACCAAGCCACCCACGCCCAGGCTAGGTACGGCGCTGATGAAGTCACATCACACCAACCTGCCAACAGCTGTTTTCTTTCAAAAATGGCACGCAGTTGTAGCTGCTATTAATCACCAGGTTTTGCTGCAGGATGGATCAGTCAAAGTGCCGCATACGGTACATTCATGAGCGGCGCAGCTGCGGCCGGCACTGGTGACTATTTGATGCGCCCCATGTGCGGCGGGCGGGTCTTCACAAGCAGCCTCTCAAAGGCGTTCATTGCGCTCTAATCACCTTGCCGTCGCGCTCAGGTGATTTTGTGGTACGAGTCCCGGTGGAATGGGTGCAGGCAGGGATACCTCACTCGCTTTGTGCACTCCGCTGCTTGCCGCACACTTGATCCCCGGTGAGACGGTGACGGGCGACTACAACTCCAAGGCAGTTGAGGTATACTGCTATTCTATTTCATGTCAGCCGAATGCGTGCAAAAACTGCTGGCAACTGGCCCCAGAGTGTCCACCCACCAGCCTGCCCTTGTACCAACGCGTGGCTGCGCATGTGAGTGCACCACGCACAGCAAATCATCTGTACATCTACTATGTGGTGTTTGACCGTGGCAATGGGTTATCTTGCCTGATGTTTGCCACAGGACGTCAGAGTCTCAGCACAGCTGCCTCAAAGGTGCAACGGCTGTGTGCAGGAGGGGTAATTGAGGCCAAGGGTGACCAGCCATGACTGCGACTTGTTACCCCAATGCCCTTGTCCTAGTGCCACTAGCTTGGACTGTGCAGGCCATCACCCTGTCAAAATCTCCCCCAAACCACAACAGACATGTGAGCACATGTATGCGTTACAAAGTCATCATGGCAGCAAATGCCACCGGCTAATAGGGGGGCCTCGGTGGCGCCATGCCGCCCGGCCTCGGCGGCGCTCCAAAGCCGGTGGGTGCCTGCCCAAACACAAGCGGGCCCTGCGGTTGGTGGTGGTGCTGCTGCTGTGACGGCTGCTGCAACGGCATGGCCATGGCGCCAGGAGGGGCGAAGCCAAACTGCAGGGGGTACACGCCCCCAAAAGGCGCCTGCACGCTGGCGAAGGGAAGCTGCTGCTGTGGCCATACCTGCTGCGGCTGCCACTGTGGTTGCTGCTGCTGTGGCTGTAGCTGTTGCCCCCATGCCTGCTGCTGGGGCCAGGACTGCTGCTGCTGTTGTTGTTGCTGCTGCCACTGCTGCTGCGCCGGCTGCTGTTGGTGCTGCTGTTGGTGCTGCTGCGGCTGCTGCTGCTGCTGCTGCTGCTGGGGCCACTGTGGTGGCTGCTGCATTGGCCACTGAGGCTGCTGCCCTGCCTGCCCCCCAGACCAAGGGCCGCCACCTGGGGGCGGCTGGCCCTGCTGGCCCTGCTGCTGGTGGGGTGCAGGCTGGCGGGCTCCAAACGATGTATGCCCCCCGCCC